GGGTCTAACTCGACGGGTCCTAGTAGATAATGAAAATATGTGTCACAGGCAAAATTAAACTTTAACCCTTGGAGTACCAGCCGGGGTCATTTTTGACCCCACGCTCGAAATCTCCGAAAAATGCTAAACATGTTTTGTTGTTTCGCAGTTTTCAGCAGCAGCTAGTAACCTTTACGAAGAGATATATGATAATGAATCTAGAACGAAATACATTCTTTCTCCATATTAGTGCGCCCCCTTAGTAAAACATTGTATCAGTAATATGTTTTTTACAAAACGGAGAAACAATGAAAATTCTAATGTCTAATAAAATGAGTCATTCTCTGATCTAAAGGGGTGTGCATTTTCAATCCATTGAAATATTTTTCATAAAGATTATGGACAGTTCAAGTGAAACCGGAAGCGACAGTGATTATTTCGATGATGCAAACAGCGGTTCGGAAACGGGAGATGGCGAAAGCCAAACATCCGACGATGATGATGAAATTGATTTAGAAAACCTAAAATTAGACGATGACTCCACATGGAAAAGTTCGTATACTTCCCGTTCTGGAATGATTTGGTCCTCAACTCCTCATCATTCAACGAAAAATGATTTTTCGAATGATGTTATTCAAAAAGCTGGTCTTACAAATACCAGTGAAAATATTTCATCTGTCGAAGATGCATTCATGTGTTTTATGCCAAACAAACTTCTGGAAAAAATCTTGGATTATTCAAACTTGGAGTATACTCACAAGAATACCTCCACGAAAAAAATTGAAGAAATAACACTCATAGAATTGAAAGCATTTATTGGACTTTTATTGCTTGCTGGTTTATTGGGGAAATCGAAGATCGATCTGAAATGCTTATGGAGAAGAAGTCCATTAGAACCGCCAATATTCAAAGCCACTATGTCAAGAACTCGTTTTCAGGATATTATTTCTTGTTTGAGATTTGACGACAAAAGAACAAGGGAAGAAAGAAAACGAACAGATAAATTTGCAGCAATTCGTGAAATCTGGTCATATTTCCAAAATTGCTTACAAACATGTTACACACCGGGATCAAATGTTACTATTGATGAACAACTACTAGGATTTAGAGGAAAATGTTCCTTCCGTCAATATATGCCAAAAAAGCCTGACAAATACGGATTAAAATTTTGGCTATGCGTTGATGTGGACTCACATTATGTATTCAATGCATTTCCTTACGTTGGACGACAACCGAATGAGCAAAGACAAACACAGATAGGTGCCAAAGTCGTTCTAGAATTACTCAAACCACTTTACGGCTTCCAAAGAAACGTTACAATAGATAATTTCTTCACAAGTGTTCCATTAGCCCAAACGCTTCAAACAAAGAATCTGACTCTTATAGGAACACTGCGAAAAAACAAGTCAGAAATACCTATCGAGTTTCAATCCAACGAAAATCGTGAAGTGGGTTCTTCGCTCTTTGGTTTCCAAGATGGTTTAACCTTAGTTTCATTTGTCCCAAAACAGAATAAAGCTGTTTTATTGCTCTCCTCAAAACATCACGACAATCAAGTGGACAATAAAACTGGAAAACCGATCATTATATTGGATTATAACAAAACAAAGGGGGCTGTCGATACTGTTGATCAAATGTGTCATAAATACACGGTAAAAAATATTTCAGTATTTCTATAGCTTATTTTACTTTTCAGGTAAAACGAGGTACAAAGCGATGGCCAGTTTGTATTTTCTATGGGATGATAGACATTGCTGCCATAAATGCTCTGATTGTCTGGAAAGTGAAAAATCCTCAATGGAATCAGAATACAAATCATAAACGTCGATTATTTTTGGAAGAATTAGGATTAGCACTGGTATCGCATCTGTTGGATTTTCGTTCGAAGAACTCGAAATTTTTGAACACAGATATTCTAAATGCTTTAGCAATCGTCGGTTATCCTGTGTCGAAGAACGATCCGGCAGAAGCGAATGAAAATCCCACTCAACCAAAACGAAAAAGGTGCTCCATTTGTGAACGTTCTACGGACAAGAAAACATCAATTCAATGTTTCAGTTGTTCTTCGTTCGTTTGTAGTGATCATTCTGTCAAACGTGTCTTTTGTATTAATTGTTCTAAATAAGGAACATCGTTCTCATTTTTTTTCTATAGAATAAAACAAGAAAAGGTCAGATCTTACGAAAATATTGGCTGAAAAGTAAAAGGATTATTAAAAAAGAACACATGTCATCAAAATCACGGTTAAAAGAGGCCGGTACTCCAAGGGTTAAGCAAGATTGGTTTTTTAGACTCAAAATTGTTCGTGTTTTTGTTTAATTTGAAGTGATTTCTGATTAATTTTTCGTTTTAAAGTTTTTGGTAGATCATTCGGTTATTACATGAATTCAGATATTTATAATATTTTTCAGATATAATAGATGGGTGTGGGTGTG